AGGCGCAGGAAGGACTCCAGAGAGGGGCTGCTTTTCCCGCAGCTCCTGAGTGCCAGTCCTCCCCGGGTCTCCGCAGAAGTAAGCCGCCTCGGGGCTGACTCCCGAGGGAGCCGAAGGAGGAGCGCAGGGTTAACGCCCGCGTGAAGGCGGTGGTCTCGTTTGGCCACCCAAGTTTTCCCCTTTCGGGTCGCCACTCACAAGTCGTAGCTGGCCGGATCGGGCTGCAAGAGACCCATCCATCCATCCTTCTTTCCTCCCGCCGCACTGCCTTGCAGGCTGCGCTTTGCGTCTAAACCAGTGGTTCTCAACCTGTGGGTCGGGACCCCATTTGGGGTCAAACGACCATTTCACGGGGGTCGCCAAACAACGCAGTCTCCCATTTTTTCCCCCTTTTCCTTAGCTGTGCTACTCCCTTTTATTCTATTGGCTTTTGAAAGCCAATAGAAGAGACTCTCTTGAATAGAGTCTAATTCTATTGGCTTTCAAAAGCCATTAGGAATTGTCCAGACTGTCTCTGCCCTGCTGAGCCCGCCAAAAGTCCCATTCTGCAAACGGTGCTGCACCAGTTGAGTAGTCCTCGACTTACGACCAGTTGAGTGGTCCTTGACTTATGACCAGTCGGGGGTCGCGGCATTAAAAAGGTTGAGAACCACTGGTCTAAACCAATGTTTCTCAACCTTGACCATTTTAAGGCATGTGGACTTCAACTCCCAGAATTCCACAGCCAGCATTGCTGGCTGTGGAATTCTGGGAGTTGAAGTCCTCATGCCTTAAAATTGTCAAGTTTGGGAAACACTGCCCTACGGTATCCTGTCCTCTCCCCCCCCCCCCCCGTCAAACAAGGGGCTGCTGTTCCTCAGCGCGGCCTCCTGCAGCAGAAACAGATGGAAGCAATAGCCAGGGCTGCGCTGAAGCCGCGGGAGGGGAAAGGGAGCGCCAAGAGCCGCGGGCAGTGGGAGCCCAGAAAGAAGGGGAGAGGGGGGGGTTGAAGCTCCAGATCCCCCCCGGGGCGATGGAGGGTGCGGGCGGCCGGCCCTGGGCAGCAGGGACACCAACCACGCGCCTGGTGCCCTGTTTCACCTTCCCCCCCCCCAGCTTCGGGGGGGGTGTCCTGGATTCGGCACCCTGGCGCGCACACTTGGGGGGGGGAAGCGTGGCGGGTGCAAGAGCTGGACAGGAGGGAAGAGCTCCCCCCCCATTTTGCTCGGTCCTCAGCAAGCAGGCTGTTCTGGAAGGCTTGTGGTGAGAGAGCCCCCCACCCTAGAGCGCGAAAGGAAAACCACTGCTGCTGATGCCGTCTTCCTGGGAGCCTGGAGGGTTTGTGGGGGGGGGTAAGGATGCCCGGCGAGAGCATCCAGAGCAGGGCAGAAACTGAACCACCCCCCTCCCGAAGGCTCCTAAGCCTCCCCTCCTCCACTTAAGGGTGGGGGAAGAAGTGGGTCTTTTCTGTTCTTCTCCCGTTCGTCTTTCAGCTTGCGCCTCGTCCGTTTCCTTTCCTGGAGCTCTAGCGCCTCCTTTGGACACCCCCCAAAGCTGAAACAGCTCCGAGGCGCAAAGGAGCTTGCGCGCGCTCTACGCCTCATTGCCTACAAACTAGACAGAAAATCAACAGCAGCCCCTCTGGATTCCCGGGATCCCACCTAAGCTCGCCCCGACCCTCCTTTCCCTTCCCCCTCCCGCGCCCACCAACCCGATCCCTTTCTCTCCTCTCCGAGGTTGCTCCTGCGGCGCAACTTCCACCCTCGCTTTTGCGCCAGGACAGGAGCCTAATCAGAGCCTCCCCATGTCCGACGGTGACGCTGGTACTTCCCTTGCCAAATCTCCTTTGGGCCCTGGGGAGGGGGTGGGGGGGTCGATCCCCAGCGCCTGTCTCTCGGGGGGGGGGGACGTCTTGTCGGAGCGAGGCCGCTGCAAAGCTTGAAAGCCACGCGCGATTCTTTTGCAAAGGCGCGCAGAAGAAGCCTTGCTTTCCCCTCCTACTTTCAGCCGTACCTGCGGCAAGGGGGTGCCTCAATCTCAGGGCGCCCCGACCAGCGGGACCCGGGGAACCGACGGTTGCAATGCAACCACGGGCTCCGATTTGGGGCGGGGGGGGGAAGGCTGCTCTTTGGGACTCCCCAAAAAAGTCCCCGGAAGCCCCAGCCGCGAGCGAACCGGGGACAACACGAACCACACAACACTTCCAGAAAGGGCTCAAGTCTGTGCAAAATTGGCTCCCTCTCTGGGGGGGGGGACCGTTGCTGAGATGGGGGGGTCAGTTGGAAAGGGGGAAGGGGGGCGGGTTAGGAATCAGCTCACGCTTTAGTGCAAAGGACCCCCCCTTCTTTCCCCCCGTTTCCAGTCCGTGCCATATGGCCGAGCTCGTCCCAGCACGAACACCAACACCACCAACACGCGCGCACCCGCACAAGCGTACGCACAACCCCCCCACCCCCGTTCCAAACGAAGTTTTGGAAGGTTTGGCTGACCACCCCCCGCCAGTTTAAGAGCTGGCGCGAGAGCCTCGGGCGTCAAATCAGCGCGGGAGGCTTTTATTCTGGAAGAGCCAGAAGTTGGGAATGGGTTTGTGTGTGAGTGTGTATGTGTGTTGGTGGGGGGGGGGGAAGGACCGTTTCCTGACAACTATTTACTTGAAACCAGAGATTCGCTGGGGCAGGATGGACTCCTAAGAATCGACTCGGCTCCGGCGGTCGCTTTCTGAGGCCGTCGCAGAGAAGGGAAAAGAAAAACACACACACACACAAAAAAAAAAAAAACGAAAAGAGGAATCCCGCGGTTTCAAACCCTTGTTGGATTTTTTTTTCTTTCTTTCTTCCTTTTTTTTAAAAAAATCGCCTTGATTTTGGCGGGTTTCGGATTATTGCACCAAGATTCCAGGAAGGTAAAGAAAGGGAGCCGTTTGGGGGGCTTTTTTGGTTTTGCTTCTTTTTTCTCTCCTCTTCGTCGGTAATTTTTTTTTTGGTTGGTTGGTTGGTTTGGAGTTGGACTCCCAACAAAAATTCTTTGGATGAGATACTGGGGGGGGGGGGGCACCCGCAATCCAGGCAGGAGCGTTTGGTGGCTTTCTCCCCACCCCCCCATCCCCGACTCCGCGTTTTGACAATTCGAATCTTTGGGTGTAATCCGAAGTAAGCCCCCCCCCTCCTTCGATCCAGACGGGGCTTGCTCCCCAAAGGAACCGGCATTCGACGCCAGGACGCCTGGAGTTGGGTTTTTTTTGGGGGGGGGGGGAACAGGCGTTGCAAGGATGAAATGGCCAGTATTGTTCCTGCTGGTGGGATGGGGGGGGGGGGAGAGAATCGGGTCCCGTCTTGTTCCTCCGGCGCTGGAGGGTCTGGAAGAGCGGGTGCCGCGGCCCCCAGGCTGCCATCGGGGCGGCTGAGCGATGCCACCGCAGAAGAAGCGCGGATCCGCGCCGGGGAGCGCTTTTCTGGCCCCGCCGCCGCGGCGCGCAACGCCCGCGCCTGCCTCTTGCGCCCGTCCCGCCGTCCCGGCTCGGCTGGAAGCGGCGGGAGGCCGGGCGGCTCGCTCTGGCGGTCTGAAGGGAGGCTGAGGCGCCGGCGGAAAGTCGTTGCCTGCCCGGGCTGCGCTAATGACAACCAGATTTGGCAGAGGGGCCGCGGCGCGGCATTCCTGCAGCTGGGCTGGGGGGGGAGGAGGGGACGGGCCAGGGCGCGGGGAGGAGGGCTGGGAGCGCCCGGAGGGGAGCCCCCTCGGAGCGTCCCTCTTTGCCAGAGGGCCACGGGCGGCAGAGGGCTCTCCGAAGGGGGAAGGCGCCGCGGAGAGCGGGCCGAGCGGCTGAGGCTTGCCGGCGTCTGGGGAGGACGGTGGGGGGGGGGGCGTCGGGTTGAGCGGCCCGGGGCTCGGGAAGCAGCTCGGAGCTTTGAGAAGGGTAAGAAACGAAGGGGGGGGGGGCTTTTCCCAAATCCGTGTCCTTCCTTCTTTCCTTCCTTTCCTTCATTCTTTCCTCTTCTTTCCTCTTTCCTTCCTTTCCTTCATTCTTTCCTCTTCTTCCTTCTTTCCTTTCCTTCCTTCTTCCCTCCCTTGTTCCTTCTTTCCCTTTCTTCATTCTTTCCCTTCTTTCCCCTTTCCTTCCTTCTTCCCTTCCTTCTTTCCCTTCATTCTTTCCCCTTTGCTCTTTCCTTCTTTCCTTCCCTCCCTTCTTTCCTTCCCTCCCTTCTTCCCTTTCTTCATTTTTTCCTTCCTTCTTTTCCTTCCTTCTTCCCTTTCTTCATTCTTTCCCTTCTTTCCTTCCTTCCTTTCTTCCTTTCCTTCTTTCCTTTCTTCCCTTCCTTCTTTCCCTTCTTTTCTTCCTTCTTCTTTCTTTCCTTCCTTCCTTCCCTTCCTTCTCTTCTTCCCTTTCTTCATTCTTTCCTTCCTTCTTTTCCTTCCTTCTTCCCTTTCTTCATTCTTTCCCTTCTTTCCTCTTTCCTTTCTTCCTTTCCTTCTTTCCTTTCTTCCCTTCTTTCCTTCCCTTCCTTCTTTCCCTTCTTTTCTTCCTTCCTTCCTTCTTTCTTTCCTTCCTTCTTTCTTTCCTTCCGCCCTCCCCGCCCATTGACTCCAATCTTCTCCTTTCCCCTTCAGTTTCTCCTCCTTGCCATTTCCATCTGCGCTCTTTTCTCTTTTTCTTCGCCCTCTTTCTTCAGATGCCGCCGCCGCCGCCGCCTCTCGCTCTCGGGGAGACCCGGTTCCGAGCTGGCCGATGGTGGGGAGGGGGGGGGAGGAAAGGAAACCCACCTCCTGGGGGACGGTCAAGACATTTACCTCCCCGGGTCTTTTCAGCCCGGCTTTGCGCCCAGACTAGGGGTACACATCGGTGGACCAGAGAAGCTGGCGGGGCGCGGGGATGGGAGGCTGGGGGTGGCTACTTCTGGGAAAGGCAGAAGGGAACGAGGGGGGGGGGGAGGAGGAAGGGTTCGGGCTGCAGCCTCCACGTCGTCTGGCAGGCTGGGTTGCCCGGTGGGGTCGCCTCGGGGAAGTCTTGGGAAGGGTCTAGTTGGGGACCCGCCGTTTGCGTTGGAACTGGGTTTGCCCGGATTCAGAGCTGCCCAACCGGGAGTGGCAGGAGCAGAGCTGCCCAATGAGCGCAGCCAGCCGCCTGCTCTGGCGGCCAAGAGTAGCCGCGGCGTAGTTGGGCTCCGGGTCCGCTTAGCGGGAGCGGCGGAGGGCCCACAGCTGCCTCCCGGACTCTCACGCCGCCCCCCCCCCACACTCCGGTCCAGCAAGGGCGGGGCGGGCAGGATTGACCGGAGCGCCGCCTCCGGGGCTTGTTAGCTGGCTTTCCAGCCTAGCCGAGACTCCTCCGAGCCGACGCTGCGGGAGAGGACCGGCCGTCCTGTCCCAAAGCGCCGGAGCAAGCAGTGCTGGTGACACCACCCCCCCAGGGCAGAACAAGCGGGCAGGAGAGAAGGGCGGGGGGGCCCCCCGGCAGGGATGCACCCCCCATATAATTGAGATCGCCCCCCTCGCCGTCAGCACCAGCCTCCCCCCTGCAGGCGGAGGGGTCCTCCTCTCCCACGGGTGAATCCCCCCCCCTTGTTCCCCCTGATAATCTTGGAACGGGGCCTCCCCTTGCCCGTCTTCGGAAGAGCTGCGCCGTTGGGGGCGGGCGCGCATTGCCTTTGGATCCCCCGAGGCTGGCGACGCTGCCCAAATCTCTCTTTGGATGCCTAACCCTCCCCGCCCCAATAGACGATGTTGACCCGGACAGACGACGCCCATTAGCGTCCGGACCTGGGATCTGGCCCACTCTTGCAGCAAACATCCTGGAGGGGACCTCGGGATCTCGGAACGCTTTGGTTACGCGTGGTTAAGACAGCTCATTCCCCTCCCCGCGGAAAAGGGCCACCAGCGGCGTGGGCTCGTCGCCCCTCCGCCCTCGGTTGCCTTTCCTCGGAGTTCCTGTTGGGGCAAAAGCGGGTTCTTCGCCCCTTGCACGGAAAGCTTGAGCTGCAGCGTCCGGGAGCTCTTTCGGCCCAGCGTCCGGAGCGCCTGCACCTAGGTGAGCTTGGGGTGGGTGGGGGGGCTTGGTGGGGACGGGGGCGTCCGTGAGCCCGATCTATAGAGCTTTCTCTACCCGCAGTTGTGGCGCCTTGGGCAGCGTTTTGCACTCTTTAAGTCCGCACCCAGGCGAAAGCCAAAAGCTGGGGGCGCCAGCGGTTGCAATTCTCCGCGGGGAGGAGGGAGACGGCGTTCCAGATGTTTCGGCTCTGCAACCCTTTGCCAGGTTTCTCAAAGGCGCTTTCCTGCCACAGGGAATTATTATTATTATAATTTTTTAAAAAGGGGGGAGCTGGCAGGGGGAGAAAAAAAAGGGGGGCGGAAGAACTGCGTGGCGACATTTGCATCGGAGCCGTTTCTCAGCCCTTTTGCAAAAACAACCTTGGAGTCGAAAGGAACGCCTGATTTTATTATTTATTTTTTATTTTAATTTTTGGCCTAAACTCCGGGGACCGAACGGGTTTCGGGACTCTTCCGAAGCCGCGGCGGGAACCCAACTGTAGAGTAGGAGCAACAAACGGCGGCGAAAGAAAACTTAAGTTTCAGAGCAGGGCGGGGGGGGGGGGTTTAAGGGCTGAGTCCTGTTTTGCTTGGGGACGAGGCTGGAAAGCCAAGCCGCTGAGGTGTGGCCTTGCCTCGGCTCGGTCCTTCTGCCAGTCGGCCTTCTGCAAATATTTGCAAAGGAGAACCCTCAACGCTCCGATCCTGAATCCGGAGCAGAGCGCAGCGCAAGCTAGTGGGAAGAGGCGGCCTTTTGGTGTGGGATTCATCCCGTGGGAACCAGAATTCCCCCGTAAGGAGCTTTTTGCAGACTGACCAACGCAGGAGAATGGGACTCTTTATTATTATTATTATTTTTAAAAAAATTCGAATGGACAAAAATGGGTCTTTTTTGGGGAGGGAAGCCCCCCCCACCCCACCTTCCTTTGTGTTGGGCTCTCCAGGTTGGCTTTGCCTTCGGATCTTGGCGATTCCCAGGGGGAGGAAGGAAAACGGCCGTCGCTGAAACGTCTGGCAGAGCTGGCCGAGACTGAAAACTGTGCGGTGGTGGTTAGCTTGGCACCATAATCATAGATTGCCTCAAATAAAACATGTTGACGCGGCGGGAATTTGTCTTCGCTTCCCGAGCCTTTTCCAAGAAGGGGGAAAAAGCAGGGCTTTAAAAGCCTTGCAAAAAAGGGCAAGGAAGATGAGCCGCGATGGGTGGTGGTGAGGGGGTGATGGTAGGGTGGGCGTGCAAAAGAGGGCTTGGGGGGAATCGCCCCTCCTTGGTGGGGTAACCTTGGCCGGGGGGGGGACCCATAGGTTGACCGCCGACCTGCCTTATAAATAGGAAGGAGCTGAGAATTTCTGGAGGTTTTTGCTGAGACGGTTTGTGTGATGTGGCGGGGGCGGATAACCTGGATCTTGCCAGAGAACTGGAGTAAATGAGAAGAGCTCGGCCAGGGTAGCTTTTCGCCTTTGCGGTCCTCTGCTGCCCTCCAGCGATGATGGTGAGAAATGGCAGGTCCGTTGCACCCTGACAGTAGAACAGTGTTTCCCAAACTTGACAATTTTAAGGCATGTGGACTTCAACTCCCAGAATTCCACAGCCAGCATTGCTGGCTGTGGAATTCTGGGAGTTGAAGTCCACATGCCTTAAAATTGTCAAGTTTGGGAAACACTGCAGTAGAAGGGGAACCGTGGCATTGCATGCTCCTTAGGGAAGCAGGTCTAAATTTTGATTTCGGATCTCCCTTTTCTTTTCTTTTTTTTTTTTTTTAAAAAAATGGTTGTGGACCAAATGGTTGTTTTACCAGGGTTCGATCTACCCATGTGTATTGTGTTGTTTAAGCCCTGGCTTGCGCACACTCCCTGCAGGCTGGCTGGGGGGAATGCTGGGAGATGAAGTCCCAAACATCTTAAAATCGCCACGTTTGAAAAACGGGGCTCCAGTCTGAAAGTGAATCGTTCATTTTGTATGGTGGATCTTCAGTTCAGGGCAACCGTATCAGGGCTTCAAAACGGTCGATCCCTATTGGAAGGCTAGAAAAAGTTTTCTTGAAGCTCTTTGCTGCCATCTTGTGGTTCTCTGGGATTTGAAGTCCGGATTGGGAACTTTTTTCTGTAAATGCTTTTGTGGTGTTGAGGCCTCTGAACTTCTCTTAAGATTTTAGTGGATTCCCTAATTCAGAGAAAGGGATCCTCTTTATAGGACCACTTCTGTTAAGATTTTTAGTGGATCCCCTAATTCAGATAAAAGGATACTCTTTATAGGACTGTGGAGAGCACGTTGGGGTGCTGTTACAAAATGGAGGCCACGGGGCTTGTTTATTTAAAAACGGGGATCCCCGCCAGCCACAAAAGACCCATTAAGCAGAAGGCAACAATGAGGAAAAGAAACAAAACTGAACACGCCATGAAGTTAAACAAAAATGTACCCACGGTGTGTGTGTGTGTGTGCGCATATCTTTACACACATTCTGCTTCTTTTGTCAGTTTGTGCGGTGCGTGAGGCCGAACGAAAATGATTTCCCCACAGGCCAAGTTGGCTATTGATTCTGGAACGTTTTTGCCTTGTTCTCGTATGGCTCATACGATACTTGGATTCTGCTGGCCTCGACTGTCAGAATATCTGGTGTCCACCTGGGGCTCTTCTGTGATAGATCCTAGTGCTCCTTTTTCCAAAGTTGTTCAGCGCCTCTGGGTGATCTGTGGCAGAGCATCAGGCTAGGAAAGGCTGTCTTTGTTAGAGGATATGTACTATAACTAAAACATTGCGATACTTGGTTAAATAGCTCCGTTTCTGTTTCATTGCTATTGAACTGGCTTGAAATTCTGATTCCCTCAGCATTAGTGGAATTTATTAATGGACAATAACAACTTCTGAATAGATACTCTTGCAGTGTGTCAAAGAAGCTCAGCGCTCAGCCTGGAAACTCAGAAAGCTAGCTATATCTGAGTTGCAAAGATCCACAGGATCACTACCCAGCAGCATAGAATTCATTTTTTTCCCCTCACATCTCTTTGCTGTCACCTAATGGTTGCATGCATTTCTGCAGGCCAGATAAGGTAATACAGGTAGTCCTTCCTGCACAGGTAATACCTTTTTCATTTAGTGACCGTTCGAAGTTAACGTGATTTACATTCGTATCCTTGACAACTGATTCACATTTATGACGGTTGCAGTGTCATGGGGGCCATGTGATCCCCTTTTGTGATCTTTTGACAAGCAAAGTCCAGGGGGAAGCCAGATTTACTTAACAACCGTGTTACTAACTGAACAACTGCAGTGATTTGCTTAACAACAGTGGCAAGAAAAGTCGTAAAATGGAGCAAAATTCATTTAACAAATTTCTCACTTAGCGATGTAAATTCTGGGCTGGACTAGCTATACTAGTGAAAGCTAAGTGATGATACATACATACATACATACATACATACATACATACATACATACATACATACATGACTTTTAGAGGCCCAAGGAGAGCATTTTCATTGACATGTGTCCTTTTTCTATCTGCTTTCTTTCTCATTGTTTCCTTCTTCAATCTATTTTTTTTTCTCTTTGTTATTTTGAGGGCATAAAGGTTAGTAACTCGCTAATATAAAAACGTGGAGGTACAGTCACTCTTGCCTTTAATTATATTTTAATGAGTTAGTTCCACTGTGCTGCCTCGAATCAACATTATTCATCCATTCAGTCAGTTTAGCTACCAAACTATATACTTCAAATGGGGATTCATCCACGTATAAGTTGCAGGGGAATTGTCCCCTCCTCCACATTCCCTGTGTTACGGGCAAGTCTCTTTTCAAGGCTAGACAGGGATGGGGAAAAAAAACCAAAACCAAAATCCCATCTAGTTTATAGACCTGGGATTTCCTGTAGCCTCTAATCCAAGTATTACAAGAGTTTATTCTTCTTAGCTTTTTTTCAAAGTCTGCCAAGGTTAGCTGGATCCTCCCTTCCATGTTCGAAGATGATTTTAAAAGCAGGAGAGCAACTTTGCACATAAGAAAATCTACTCCCCCCCCCCTTTAAGAGGTTTCAGCACCGCACATCACACTTATGCCCCGTGCAATTTAATTTCACATGGAAAGCTTGAAAGCTGATGTGTAATCCAAAACTGCCCCCATCTGCTCTGGAAATCAGCTTCTGGATTTACCGCAGCTCTACATCCCCCAAGTAGCTCCTGCAAAGGGCTATTAAATGTAATAAGTAGCCGGAGAAGATTGATATTTTTCATGCCTGTCAGTTCAACATTTCCTTGTCAGGCATAGCTTTCAGCACATGAAATGCTGCAGGAGATGGCCGACTAAAGAGGATAGTTGTTAGTTGCAAAGTCTTTATAAAAATGTAGGCAGCGGTTCTATACATACATATCTGGAGCGTGCAAGATTTCCTTTCTATTTATTGTTAGTTGCGAAGTCGTGTCCAACCCATCGCGAGCCCATGGACAACGTTCCTCCAGGCCTTCCTGTCCTCCACCATGTTCTGGAGTCCATTTAAGCTCACGCCTACTGCTTCAGTGACTCCATCCAGCCACCTCATTCTCTGTCGTCCCATTCTTCTATTGCCCTCCATCTTTCCCAGCATTAGGCCCTTCTCCAGGGAGTTCTTCCTTCTCATTAGGTGGCCAAAGTACTTGAGTTTCAACTTCAGGATCTGGCCTTCTAAAGAGCAGTCGGGGTTGATCTCCTCTAGGACTGACCGGTTGGATTGCCTTGCAGTCCAGGGGACTCGCAGGAATCTTCTCCAGCACCATAGTAGATGTCCACTAACTCAAGAATAATCACACAAGTGCTGTTCTACGGTTCCAGGATTGTGCCACCGAGAAATGCAAAGGATTTCCATTTTAACATTGCAGTTTTCTAGCAGATAATATTTAGATAATCTGGAACTGCTTAAAAATCTATTCCTACCTTTAGACAAAACCTTCAATTAGTATGTTTTCTTCTTTCCTGTGGTTCAACATTGCCATCTGTTGGAATAAATGCATGCACGTCAGAACTGGGGGG